CATTAGGGCAGAATAGCAGTTGACCAAGTATTCCTCAGGGCTTGCTTTGGCTAAAAACTTGATGAAAGGCTTCTGACCAATGGCGTTTGCTGTTCTGACTTTGCTCCAGGTCTCTGATAAACTCTGAAAACAACCAGAAAAGGTTTACATTCCCAGTCTCTGGTGGAATAATGGCCTGATAAAACACAAAATCCTCTGTATTTCTTAACTGTCGTGATGCTTGCTTACTGTATTTTATTGTCCTTTTTCAAATCCTTCCTGTTAAATGCTACTTTACTCTTGAGTTGGATGATTAAACTATATATCTGTGCTGACAAGCCACAGATATGTGAAAAAAACAGTATGATAATCCTTCAAAATTAAGTGCATGATTTGAGTTCTCATATTTCTAATAGAAAATCTATGGACTCGACTGGTGTATCTGGGAAGTTTTTTTTTTTCTTGTCTGTGCCATTGATGAATGCCATCTCTTGTTGATTTGCTGTTAATCTCTGCAGGTTATCTTTTGGGGGATGTTGGAGACACAGAGACCAGATGAAACTGTTGCCATTGATGATATCACTTTCAGTGAGGGGTGTTATCTGGCACGTGGTAAGCATACCTGTTTTTTGGGAGACAAATAATTTTACTTTGTCTTTCTCTTAGATTAGAAGAGAAAACACAAAGCTTTCTTAACTCCATGTTTTCATCTGGTTTATTTTCATTCCTCTAAACCATCATCTATCGTATTGCATCTAAACACAGTTACAAAGAATGATAATAAGTACCCTAAGAAATCTGGTATGGTATAAATGTACCTTTCTGCAGCCAGGAAAGCACTAAGGCCTCAGTGGGCAGAAAAGATCTATTGTTTTTGGCCAAAGAATTGATGTGTTCAGCCAGCTCACAAAAAGCTTCGGAGTTGACTTCAGAGAGATTCCCAAGGCACTTGTGCGTATTTTTAAATGTGTGAAGGTCCTGATCCTCAGCTGCGTAGTGGGGCTATTTTTTTCCACTCTGAAACATCCAAGAGCTGTCATGTCAGGCTAGTCAGCTCTGCAGCCCAACCATCCAGGCATGTTTGGATTCTTTAGCAAAACGTTTCTTATTTCTCTTTTCAACCCCATGTATTTTTATGGGAAAGAAATACTACCCATCCTAGCATAAATTAGACTGCTTGATGCCCTGTATTAAACAAGAAGATTGCACTTTGGTACCTGTGTCACATCTTAAGTAAGCACAGTCCTGATTCAAAGCACCTGCCTTATTTTCCTGCCTCTTAGTCATAGCGCAGGCACTGAGGATTCAGTCTTCAAATTTAACGTGAGGTATGAAATGCAGTGTTTGGCATAGACTAAGCTAGGTTTTATGACTGGTTTTGTGTACTATGGTCTAAAATAAAGTTCTCTTCTGAACAGAAGCATTCTGTTGCAAGTGTTACGGAGATGCTGCTGAATTTAACTTCTCCATTAGAAATGATTTTTAGGTAGCTACCATCTAGAAGAGTAAATATGTATTTCTTATTATGACATGTCATTTTTTAAGTTTCCTGGCAACTCTCTCTGAGGAAGTGAAATCACGAAGGTTGCAATGACTTGCCAACATAAATAACACTCCGTTGCTCTGAAAGAAGCATCTATCTTAAAGGAATGATTTTTTAAAATAGTATCGTTAAAGATGACAGTCTGATATATTAGATAGCACTTAGTGATGCAAAATGCTTTTGAAGTAACCAGAGACAGAATTGTTGTCAAGTAGTTTAATAAGCATGTATTTCTGATAGGAAGTAGACTCATAAATAATGACTTCTTGAGAAGTTAAATGATTGTTTTTCTTTGTCTTTTAGCACCAGAAACTTCCAGTTTTGAGCTTGGCATGTGTGAGTGGCATTCAGATCAACCAGCTGAGTCTGCTATGTGGGCACGATTGCAAGCCGGACAGAAGATTACCTCCTGTTCCTTTCTGAAAGGTGGGAGCAACAATACTGAAGGTAGGAAATTCAAGTTAATGTGCAATTACTATCTGTGATTAAGAATATGGTGCTTTTTAGGACAAAGTGGTGATGCAATATAGAAACAGAACATGAAAAGAGAAAAGAGGCATGAAAAGTAATTGCACGTATTTTGTACTTAAATTAGCTTTTGCTTTGACCATTTAGTAAGGCTGTTGTGAACTCACATGCTGGTAAAATATGAAAGATTTTAATGTAAGAATTCCCATATAAGCTAATAATTTATTTATTCTCCAGTTAATCCTTTGTATGAGATCTATGCAATAATTTGATGAAATTAAGTTAAATCCATCTAAGTCTACAGCCCATGTGTGTGTTTTTTTTCTGTTTTGTTTTGGTACTTGGTAGTTTTACTTGTGTAGTATTACTGTGTTTTAGCATACAGTCAGGAATTTCACTTCAAACTTTTAATTAGGGCAGATGTAGAGAAACATTTATTATACAAAATAGTTTATTATTCTTAAAGACAAAACTAATTCAGTTGCAATTTTCAGAAGTAGAGAGTTGCACTTGTTTTTAAAGTTGCTGTATACTGATGGTCTATGGGTTTATGGGAAAGGTTTTTAGAAGTTAATGAATATAAATGTCTAAGTGCTGTAAAGTGCAATGGAATCACCTTGCCAGCTAAGTGTTTGGCTGTCTACTGAGACTACCTTCAAAGGGGTTAAATACCACTACTTATAATGGTGTTATTTGTGATGTAGCTTTGAAGAACTGACAGTGTAGAGATTACTCCAAAGAAATGGAGTACATCTCATTGATAGCAGCAGAATGAATGCTTAGATATTGTTTTCATTTTAGAAAGATTTTTAAAATAAATTTTAACATACATTTCAACACACTCTAGTAAATATAAATCAAATTATGATGGAATAGGAAGCAGAAGTGCTTGAGTGTATACGCTCTATTAAGATTAATTTTTTCCATGTCAATATTTATGTGCAAGAACAAGCATATAGACTATTAAAGCAGATTTTTTTTTTTTTCTTAGCTTTGAGGAAAAAAAAGAAAAGAGCCACAGCACCTTTCAATTTCTACTGGGATATCTAACAAAAGTTAGGTTTTTCATTTGATTTTATTTTAAACACCTCCCTGAACAGTTGTATCAGTGCCATACCTTAACGTGATACCTAAAGGGCTAGTAATGGGTATGGATTTCCCTTCTATGGCAATGCTGTGTTATCAGCAAAGATAGTGAAATTCTGTAAGTGGTTTTTATGGGACCAGGTCACAAGCAATGTCTACTGAAACAGAACACATTTTGAAATGTCTATTGTATAGGTGCTTGGGTATTATTATATAACTATGCACAGGTAGCTGAGTAGGCTGAACCTATAACACAAAATGCTTGGGGACATTCCCTGTGCTTCCATGTCATATAGGGGAAAAAAAAAAATGTGAGAAGAAATAAGTGTCAAAACAACACATGGAATTCAATTCGGGATTAACATTAGAAAGTATTGAAAAATGTGAACTATGATTCCTCACCGCTCAATACATTCAGTATTTCTATTAATACAGATTTGTTAAGGCATAAATGAAGAGGTTGAATATTCTAGAATTCTAAAAACTAAAGAAATGGTATGCAAACATCAAAAATGCCATGCTTGAGGGCTCAAACTTACAATGCAAATAGAGCTTGACTAAGCTTTAGTTTCTGATTTAGATCAAAGCTTTCACTACTGTGAATAGAAGAGAGGTGAGAAACTAAATTATAAAGCAGAGGTCTAGATAATTACGTTTATAAAGAAATGATTGCTTATAGGCTTTGAATAATCCTTCCTTCCTAGTATTCTTAAATTTAATAAAATACTTTCTGTCCTTGGTGGACTTTTTTATTTTGTTCTTTTATTGTTTCTTTTCTCCAGTGCTGTAGTTTAGGCATTTTGTCTATAACTCTTCCTCTTAATTTCTCTAGTGTCAGTAGTTATTACAGAGGTTTTATATTTCCCTGCAAAACTGTTAGAAAGTACTTTGTTGTTGTTTTCTTTATTGATATTTCCAGCATACTATGTAGTTTCCATAGTTCATTATTCTTACATTGAATTAATCTAGTTTCCTACGTCATGGGTAACACTTTAATAAGGAACTAATGAAACCACTTCTCCTCAAAATAAAAACAAAGATTATGAGATGCAAAAAGAAATCAACGTGCTATGGCTTTTGAACCCAACATTTCAGATAACTAATGATAAAAATCCCTCAAGTTTAAATATGGTAAAACAGCCAAACCGTTAGAATATGTGATTCTCTTAAATAACTTTTGTTTTTTTTTCCTTCAAGATTTCATCCGCAACTTTTGAGTTCAAAAAAATTCACCTTCTAAGATCAGAAAAAATGACAGTTCAGCTCTGACCTCTTCTTTCCTCAAAATCGTTAAGTGGGAAGGTTGCAGGGAGTGTTCAGAGACTGAACAGCTCTCTGCTAGGGAACAGAACTTGTCAGAAAAGAAAAGGTTCCAGTCCATGGATCAGTTCTAACTGAAGACTCAGTTGTTACTCTCAAACTAGTCACAAAGATTCCAAGTCTTGTACTTTGCAAAAGAAAAAAGAACCAATGAATTAAAGCAGAAGGAGTAACAAAAGATTTGAGCCAGAAAATGCTTAAAATGGAACTGAGCAGTTAAATGTTTACAGGCTTTGAATTTTCAGTGTAGCAGGACACAAGCAGGCTCACTAGCCCATCCCAGCTCTAGGAAGAGACTGGGCCACCTCAGCAGCAAGTTGTAAGCTCTGCTTCTAGTTTGACATGGTTCTACTTTTACAGGCTATAGAGGAGAGGGAAAAATAATAATTAGAAAAATCGGTATTTTCAGGATAGGAGTTTCTGGTTTCTTCATTTCTGAAAGTAGGCCTCAATTTGTCTCAGAAGTATTCACAATACTTGCACAAAATATATTCCCTGAAGAATAGTCTTTGTGGACACACAATCTTCTGGATGTTTCATAGAACTTTTGTTTATCTAGTGCTGTTCATTTGCTTTCTTATCTAAAAATCGTGTCAGCTCCACTTTCCCCTGTTTTTAAAGATTCGGAAACTTAAACTGAAAGAGGGAAAGGAATTTTAATTATCATTAGTCTCAGAAAATAAAGCTGGTTGGTTTTGCAATGGCATCAGAGAACTCTGAAGTTAGATCAAGGAGAGCTAGTATAAATCCTAATGTTGATGCATATTTTTCTTCTGTACAAGCCAGTAGCCATAGGAGTGCAGATACTCTGTTGATGTCTGTCAAACAGAATGCTGGGTTAAATCTGTAATATTTCCTTATATCAAGGTTAACAGCTGTGGTATGAAATTACATACCTAATTCCAATGAAATTACAACCAAGTATTTCAGTGTAAAAAGTTGCATAATGCAAAGTAAACTAGCTACAAAAGGAAAAGAATGTGGTCCCTTATAATTGAATGTTTTCCTTGTGAAATGGCACATCAGCTTGAAATAAGGTGTGTAACACCTGCATTTGAGATAATTGTATTTAGAGATACGAACACAGAAACAGTGGACTTAAGACCTTTAATCAATCCTTGTTTATTATTTTAATAGCTGCTTTAGAAGGGAGCAAAATATTCAGTGACTCAGGGGAGGGGGAAAAAAAACCCTGTTATATTTGATAAAAAGTACTTAGCCTTTTTATTTCTGACAAATAAAAGACCCTGTTGAGAGGATGGAGTACTCTTAGATCTCTGTAGGAATGCTTTTATGAGGGGCAGTAGGTCAAGAAGAGCACAAATTGCTTTTCTGCTTCAGATGGAAAGACAATATGCTTCCAGCATCTTGTTGCAGAAATTCTGGTTGAGAAGTAAAGACCCTGATTACATGGTGGAGATGCTACTGCCTTCTGCAGCAGAAAGGCGGAATGCTCCCCCCTCCCTTTTTTATTATTTTTAATTTTGAAGGGTCTACAAAAGTATTACTGTACAAAAGATATTTCCTGGAAACCATAGTGAAAGAAGGAAGAAAGCCTAGTTTTCAAATATATTTGCAAATAAGTATTGAATGGTTGTAAATGTAAGGAGGTTGAGCTGAATGTGGAACTGCTTACAGACTTTTACATGCAAAGTAACTTCAGGATATTATCAACTGATGTAATTCTTGGTTTCTGGGGGTATCTGTGACTGAAATTAAGATATATATTTGTATCTCTATCTTTTTAATAGGAAACACATAACATCCAAGTCATATTATCAACATGACATTCAGATTCCCTTGTCGGGATGAGTCCATAGTTTAATTACAGGAAAGCAGTCCTTATTTTCATAGACTGAGGAAAAAACCCATATGTTTTTTGAAAAAGTATATTTTTTTTTCTTTATTTTTCAGGCCATTTTGAGTGGTTAGAAGCTAATGATGACATAATATACAAAAGCACTTATCTTAACAGCTCCATTTGTCATTGCTTCAGCAAGAATTGCCATTTCCAGTTTCATTACTCCATGGCAGATAGCAGTGTTCTCAAGGCAGTACTGTTTGGTAATCAGGTAAGAAGAAACATGCATTCATTTTCAAAGGGTAAAGATATGGCAGCCTGGGTGTTACCAGCCAAAATGCAAGGAAATATGCCTGCTAGAACGTGCCTGCCCCCTAAGTCATTTTGTGCAAAACAGTAACTTGGTATTGTTCCACTGATCTATGCAATTGTAAAACCTGGGTATTTGCCATCTCAGCTATAAACTAATTTTGTGGAAATGTTCTTCAGGGACAAACTCTAGCTATTATGGAATTAAATAATTTGGGAATTTTAGGGGAAAAATCTATAGTAACAGCTTTTTTAGCCTTCTTCCCATTCTGAAAATGGGAAAATAAGTGCTTTTCTCTATGGAGACAAATTAAAAAGGAAAGTTGCTGGCTCAGGATATCTGGAAAACTTATTTAGCAATGTGATTTGCTTCGCCCATGTTTTAGAGCAGTAATTTTCCTATTCTTCTACTTAGTAATAGGTAAAATAGCCATGTCAAACTGAAACACAAATGCCAGTTTGTGTTCCAATGACAACTATTTTCATCTTTCTTACTTGCCTTGCCTTGTGGAGGCTTTCTACTGTTGGAAGGTTCCCTTTTGAAAGTCTTGTTTAACAACTTAATATTGATGCTATTGTACTGCTACTTAATGAAAGCAAGAGCAGTGCAGCTGGTCTTAATAAGTTAATGGCTCTCATATCTTGGTGTTGGAGTTGAATTATTATCACCCAACAATATCAGTATTTAAAAAGACGGATCCACGTCATTTGTAAATCTAAGATGCAAAAAGCCTGAAGTGTAATGCAACCAAGGGGTCTAAATATAGGAACAGGTAATAGAAATACCTTATTTATTTCCCACTGCGTTTTCAAGCATTCATGAAAACAACTCCAGGCCATTTCTCATTTTTCATTTATACAAAAGGGAACGGTTGTCTTTTTCTATGACCTGTTACTGTATCAGGAAGTTGTAACATAACCAGTGTTCTGGTCAGAATGTATGGAGATTTGTGCCAATAAATTCCCAGGTAATGATGCCCACTGCAACCTTGAGACAGAACAGGAATACTGATTTCAACGGTTCACCTAAGCAGCATCAATGGACCCAGTTTAAGAGTTTTCTTTCCTTGAAAATAGAACAAATTATGTAAGCCAAAAACATGAGAAAACTGGCGTTTGAGTTTCCATAGAATTGGGTGCCTGAATTGAATTAATTGATAAACAGTTCCTTACATATGCATTAGAAGAATGTTTTTTTGCAGTCAAATCAGTTCAATCCTCTCTGTTTCCACAACTTCTCTTAGCTCTTTAATGTTTTAGTTATTGAATTTCTCCTTCAGTCAGTAGTGTATTTATTGCACATAGACTTATTTAAAGCTGATGAGAGTTACTTATACTGGAAAATTTGCCAGAAAAACCTCCATAAACATAAGCTTCTGCTGGTAGTTTCAAAACCAAACCCCTACAGACTCATATGTAAGATGTCTTAAACTGAAATGAAGGGAGGGATAATTTTTACACACTTCAGTCCTACTGAATTGTTAGGTTGTTTATGAAAAACAAAATGAATCTTCAAAACTAGACTAATACTGAGAAACAGAAGTGAGAGCCAAGTGCTGATTCTGACCCTGGAAGACAACAGAGGTGCTGTCCTGGAGGCCGTCATTCAAAAAAACCTCTCAATTGCATGGTGTGGTACCATGCAGTTTCCTTACATCCCATTTTACTACTTTTATTGTTCAGAACCTCTTCCCTCTGAATATCTCTTGCTGTGCCCCAGCACTGACAGGCCTGATGCAAACAGAGACTGGATTAACGTACAGTTTCTGTACTGTTCTTAGAGGACAAGCACCACAGATGTTGCAAATGTATTCATAGCCACCTTCTCCCTTTCAACAGAGATGCCAAAGATGAATGAATATATTTTCTAAAGCAGACATTATGACATCACTTGGAAGACAGGGAATTTAAATTTACCTTGAGTATGAAGAAGGATAGGGAAAATGGACTGTCAACAGTAAGCTGTTGTTGACTTGTATTTAACTTGCAGTCCGTGATAATCTGCAGCTTTTCCTGTTTTACTGCTGACTTGGTAAAGTTGCACTTCACTCAATACTACTGTATTTGATAATTTGATATTTCTTTCCTGACTGTGATTCATGTGTCTTTGAACTTTGTGTTATTGCTTTGAAACTGTTTTTTATATACTGAGATTATTTTACGTTCTAATTATGTCCTTCAGAGTGTTTTTAATTCCTCCCACTTTAGTGTTATTTAAAACTTTAACATTTTTTAAAATTTTATTTTTCATTCCAGTATCCAAACAGTTTAATCAGCACTATAATTTTGTCAGGCCCTGGAACAGACCTATGCAGAGCCCTATTATAGTTTTCTTTTAATTTAATAGAAAAATATTTACAGCTCCTCCTTTAAATAAGTTTGCACTCCTATTTGTACGCCCATTTGCACATCCATTTTACAGCAATTCCTCAATTTGCTCAAAGAATGTCCTATGAGATTACGTTAAAAGCCTTAATAAAGTGATTTTTACTTTTTCAAGGGTTTTTACTATGAAAAAGAAAAGATGATTACACTGAATGTGACTTACTCTTCATCAGAAGCAGCTAATGTAGGTTTCTTACATTCTAATTCTCTAGCTGCTTACAAGATTATTGTTAGCAATCTCTTCCGGTGTTTTATGAGTTACCAACTTTTAGCTGATTGCCTATAATTACATAGTCTGTATTTTCCCCTTAACTGTAATATATATCCTTTGTTCTCCCAGTTTTCTAGTTTCCCACACAGTCTCCTCTGGTTGTCAGAGTTAGTTATTTATAGTAAGATATTTCTTCCATTCTGTAACTTTTAATTAAAACTTCCCAATTCCCTTCCAGTTTCAGTACTTCTGGCTTATATATATTTGTAATATTGTTCTTCTATTCCAGTCTGTGTTTGCCTTCACATTTGGCAATATTCACTGTCTTTACTAACATAAAATATTAACAATATTTATTGTCTATTGACTGTCTGATAAATTTTCTGTGAAAACGGAAACCAAAGAAGATAGCGTTGACTTTATTCTATCATTTGCCATTCATCACTTGCTCACTCCTCCCATTAAGTAATGGGCTTATAGGTCTTCTTTTTATCTTAATCTTTACATCTTGTACGGCTTACAAAACAGATGGAAATAAAATAATAAAGGATAGTTTCAACTGATGTTTATATGTGCAACCATATTTGTACCCTGGTGCACTAACACTTCTGCTAGTGCTCAGTTACACTTTCAAAAACCACTCAAGTACACCCCTCTGCAGACATTAAAGGTGATCCATTAATCACTTTGGGGAAACAAATAAGCTTTTTTTCCAAAGTACTCTCTGAAATGAAAGAATAAGGGACAAAATAATGAGTGCAGTTGCACAGCAGTGAATTTATCTGTAAACAAGTGTCAAAAATTAAAAAAGGTTGTATTTCATAAATGGAATTGATAAGAAAAAGACATTGTCTCTTCTATCCTACAAATCTGAGTAGTATTATTTCAAAAACAAAGAAACACACCCCCCCCCAAAAAAAAAAAAAAAAAATTGCAGGGAAAATAAACTATTCTTGTCCATTTTAGCTTTACAAAAAATTGTTTATAGATAGTAATATATCACAGTAGGGGGAAAAGAGTGAAGATATTTTGAGCAACTGCTCCCCTGAATCACTAAAATCTTGAGGGAAAGTACTAGAAAAGCAATACATTCAACATTTTAAACAAAGCTAGAGACTCAAGGAGTGTACTAGAAGGGTTAACCCATTTGCACCAAAGAGGTGGAAGAATCTGACAAGCAGGATGAATACTACAGAGAAAACACTGCAGGAAAGGGAAATAATATTATTGGTTTATTAGAGCTGTATAAAATCAGAGGGTAATATCTGCTGCACAGAACAATAGGCATTTTAAAAAATTGCATCTGAGGTGATTTACAGCTTTCAGTGTAAAAAAGCAGCCCTAGAAGTTCTGGGCACTGGCACATGCATGGAAAACTGAAGTTTAGTGTTACAAGTTATTTTTACTAAAATGAACTGGGGAGAAAGATAGTCATGGGGATGGGTATCTAAGTTGTTAATTGAATGTGAACAAAATTATAGTATCCAGATGCATCCAGTCAAATAAACAGCATTCTATATTTGTAGAGTGTTCCCACAAGGTATAAAAATATGTTTTGAGGGTTTGAATATGTACATGTGGGGGACTGTGTGCATGCACAGATACATTAACTAAAACATTTTTAAAACAGACACTTAACCACAGGCTATGATTTTAACCAGCTATGCAGTATAGTTCCTAGTACATTATTTTTTTCTGTGTCTTATATGTGACTATTGTAGGCTAATAACATTCACAGATTTTCTTTGGAAGCTGAATTATTTAGCAAAATGAAGCAAGTTTTATGTAGAATGAAGTAAACCTCGACACTGAAAGACTTTTGCTGAATGTCTGTCACATGTATAAATTGACAAATACTTGTATCCTATATGGATGTGGAAACTCAGAGTTGACTTTTATTTTTTAAGTCAAGTGTATGTTATGTGATTTACCCAAATTTGATCCCTTATGTTATTTACTGTTTGGAATTAGGGTGTTGGTTTTGCCATGTCTTGCAGTTTTCCAAAACTGATCTTTGAACACATATTCAATAGAGTTTTAGTCTTCTAGCTTTGTTAATATGTTGTAACAGTTGAAGCCTTGGTAGGAAAAGAGTCTAAGTAATTAGCTACTCTTCACAAGTCATATCAGTGTTGTTCTGTTGGCTCAGCTTCTCAGTCTATCAAGTAATAGACAGCATCTTCCTCCTCTTTTTGATATTTCAAACCAGGAAAAAACTGTCCTTTTCTGTAGTGTTGATAATATTTCACACACCTATCATACCCACTTTTATTAATCTCCTATAAGGCAAACTTTTTTATCCTTTCAATTTCTCTTCATAAAATATACTTTCCATTTCTCTTATCCTGCTTCACATCTTTTTCTGAACTGCCTTTAACTCTGTAATATCCTTTGTGGAAAAAGCATGACAAATACTTTGCACAGTATCCTAAAAAGGGTCTCGCTATTGATGCTTGTCATGGTAAAGCTGTTTGTATGTATAGCCTGTATTAACTTTTCCTACATTTTTCCCCCTGTCTTTTTGGTTTCGCTCGGCTTTGGGGTTTATTTTAAAAAGATTTTATTTAAGGATATGAAGTTCACATTGCTACAATTCTTTTCATTATGCTGGCCTCAGCATGTTCCAGTTAGGATCATGAGCAGAAGCAGAATGAACATAAGCTTTTTTTTTTTTTTTTTTTTTTTTTGGTCAGATTATTGATTTAAAAGGTCTTGGAGTGCTTACATAAAGGGAGCCTTACTATATTTGATACTCTTGCTGTTATCCTTAGGAGGTGGAGTGAAAATGAGGATTGAGGTAACTCAGAAAATAACTAGGACTTGTTAGGTAGTATTCTACCTGCTTGCTTTGCAGATTTTTTAAATTTTTTTTTTTTTAGTATTTAGCACAGTTGATTGGGTAATTTTGACAGACCCCAAATTTAGTTCTAAGAAAACGTAATCTAAATATAACACAACATAATATAAGCAGTTATTTATGAAAAAGAAACTAATGTAGAGGCCAACATGGAAACATGTTGTTAAATTTAGCAATAGTATGTCTTAATTTACATATTAATTCATTTTAATTCTGCCAAGCTGACTCCTGATAATTATATGATTAACTTGTTTAATCGCAGTAAAAGTGTTGTTTCCCTTCTCTCCTATAGACCTCAGTACAAAGATTGCAAATGAATATGTGAAGTTGTATTTCCTCACATAGAGCAAGTTTGTATATAGTGGTCATTTGGCTAGGATATGAAAAGATTGAGGACAAAAAGAGGTCTTGATAATTTACAGAGGAACAAAAATTAGCTTTATAACATCATATTCTACATTTTATAGGAGGAACATGTCTTGTGGGAAACCAACATCATGACTAAGAAGGAATGGGTCAAAGTGGATATACAGATACCAACAAGGCTAGAAGAATTAAAGGTATAAATGAAAAAAGCATGTACTTAATTTTTAAAAATGTTTTACCTTATTGTTTATAAAGCTTATAAGAAACTTATAAAATTGTTAAAATTGTATGTATTCTGAAGGTCATGCCCTTCTTCATTGCTTCAGTGTGGGTAAAGCTCTGGTTATAACTCAACAAAACATCTACACAAACATCATATATTGAAGCAGCTGGTCTTTAATAGCACACAAGAAAATGAATACAATCTCATAATATTTGAGATAGTCAGATATCTGAGTCCATCTCAGGTATTATCAACTCATTTAAGTGAGATTATGTGAATTCAGGGAGTATGTCTGAGCCTTCTGCTTATGCCCCAAATCATGCCTGTTCTAGTTCTGTTTTGTCAGACTTGTCCAACTTCCACTGTGCTATCTGTCTCTTGCACATGCCTACTTTCTGAAATTTGTGCTCTGGCCACATCCCAGCCTGTCAAAACCCACAACTCTGTTTTTGATTTGTGCCTTCAACTGCTGCTCTTGTCTCTCAGTGCTCTCATTCTTTACCATTTTAATATTTCTGATGAATCCAGGCTTTCTTTCTCCTGTTTACTCCTTAAGCTCAGGTAAAAAACTTGGAGAGCACAAGTTGGGTAATGTCTTTGCTTTGAGACCCAGCATAGATGGGCTCTGCAGTGATCAGGAGCAAGAGATGTTCTTCTGAAACTTCATTATTCTAAATTAGCTTGTGTAAAATCTGGTCAGAAATGCTCCTTGAATCTCTATATCGATGCCAGCAGCAGTAAAATAAGCAGGGCCAGGGCACAGCCCAAAGGATTGCCATGTGGTAGCCCATATAATTAAAATTTTAGCATGGTTTTGATTCAACTAAATTGTCCATCTCCCAGACAGTGCCTGGAACACTTCAAGGGTTACCAACAGTCAGGGAGCAATCCCACTGCACAGACTGGATGCAACCATCTTGCCTTAAGCAGTGAAAGGTATCAGTTGTTAAGCTATGCTCTTGCAATTGGTGTCTGAGGACAGTCTCTAGCTCATTTTACTCATCTGCGAGTGTAACCAAATTTTTTTCTCTTGGGCATCTGCTAAATGAGGCTCTGGAGACTTCAGAACAGAAGATGGAGTCTTTAAGACATTACATTTTAGGTCACTCTTCTAAAGCACAAAGGCACTGCAACTTTTTAGCCAAATGGTTTCTGAAATTAAGAGTTTTTTCTTTAAAATAGAGTTCTATTAACTTCAGTCTTGGAATTTGTCGAACGATTTTAGATGAAAATTTTCAGAAAATTCAACCTGAGGTAGGCTTACAAAATTTCAGCTTATGATTTGAAATTTTTTGTAGTTTTGTAATGGAAACTATCCAGTGCTTTTTACACATATGGCATCACCATTTTATGGAAATAAAAATCAGTTTCTCTCTGTTCTTTGTTAATGCAAATATTTTAACCATAACAATCCACAGCTTATTTTTAAAGGAACACTCTGGAGCAGAGCAGGTTTCATCTGTCTGAATGGCATCCAGCTCTTGGACACTACACCATCAGAACCACCAGGTTTCTGCTCTTTAGAAGAATTCACCTGTGCTGATGGGCAGTCCACTGAGCCTGGGTCAGCCTGTGACTCTCACTCAGATTGTTCTGATGGCAGTGATGAGGATCCAGCAGCCTGCTGTAAGTGAATTGCATTGCTTTAGAAGGGAATTGTGCTGAAGAGTATTGTGAAAAGTAATCAGATCTATCTAAGAAATGGCTGAAAAACTTAGTTATTATTTACATGGCTTATTTTCACCAGAATATTTAATGATGTACAGGTTAGTGACAATGTTCATATCATTTTTTGTCATGTATTTTTTCTTCTTCCATTTCTGTTTCTCTCTCTGGCATCATCAATATGTTTTGGATTCAGATAATAAATTTTAAGTGTCTGCAGAAACGCAACATTTTGCATGGTTTTTTTCTTAAATGCATTCCCTACCTAGAACATTTATAACCTCTATTTCCTTAATTTGAGATGGACTGAAATCTGCCTTTGGGTTTGTGGTTTGAACACTTTCCTAGTTGTCTATGAGTTATTGTCAGAAAATTCATTAGGTGACATGATATTGGCATGGTGTTTCAAATCACCATACAAATCAGCTGCACTTTAGGTGCTATATCTTTGTCACGACATTTTCAGCTGAAGGTAAATTTACTTAGAAACCAGAGTTTCTACTATACAATACAGAGAAAAAAAAATTAAAATTACTGTAAGATATGTCTAATAACTCTGAAACATTTTAGAGTTCCATGCGAAAGTAGCTTTAGAGACTCTATTCCTTTTAAATGAATATTACACATTGTGCATCGTTATGTGTATTTGCTTGTGCTACTATCACTTAAATGTGTCTTATAGATGAAAATTGTGCACATATTTCAGATATTAGTAAGGATATACATTGCTGCTGGGAGGTGGAAATTAAAATTTTTAGTGTCACCCAGGATACAGCATGAAGGACACTGATAATGTTTGTGACAGCAGGATGATGGGCACTGATAATTTTTATTTCAAAATTTCATGTCAAACGTCAGGAATTATTTGTGACTATGAGGTTTTCTTAACTCACAGTCTGAACCTTTAATCTTTTCCATCAAATAGCCATGCAGAAGCCATCTCTGAAATGAGTAATATGTGCAAATGTTGAAATTACATTTTAAATAGGAAAGTTTACACTGTTTCATCTCTGGGTGGAGTCTAAGCTGACATTAAAGTCTATAGGAGATCCCTCTTTGACATCTATTTTCCTTTTTTGCGAGACTTGACCCTATGCTGCTCACTCTGTGTGTGTTCTGGTAGGAGTGCAGAGAGTCCTTCCGTCCTCTTTAGGAAGAGGGATGGAAAGAAAGTGAACAGTACTTAATAAATTGGACTTTATTTATCAGCTATTTAGTGTTCCCACTTCCATAACAATGTGAGAGAATTGTGAATAATGACTGGGAATACAGAAGGATAATTTTAAGATTTAAAAGCAGGATGAAAAGTTACTGTCACAGTTGAAGGGTAGTTGTTAATAGTACTACACAAAGTGAAAAGAAAGATAAATTTAAAGACTTTCAGGCAATTATATAAGAAAAGTCAGAATGGCCTGAGGATCTCAACACTGTCCTTTGCAAATCCTCCAGAATTAGGGTGCTGGGGCAAGAACTGATGGGAGGCCCAGCCAGTGCAAAACCCTCTGCAATAGCTCTGCCTAGCACTCCACTGTCTGCTGCCATCTCTGCAGTTACCTTTGGTTTACCATGTGGCACTGATTCTCCACTAACTCCTCGTGTATTTTAATTTAAAGAAAATATCACATTCAGTTGAACCTGAGACACAGGGTTTGTGTACTTCCTTCTGTGTTGAGACATTCACAGGTTAAAGATGTATCATTTTGTTGGAAGAGTGCACAAAAGTATACTCATCCTCGCAAAAGAGTGAAAAAAGATGCTTTTTCTAAAATTGAAGTAACTCATAACAGTTGCATATTGCAACTAAACGTGGAATTTAGCTCTTCAGCAGTTTGGGTGGTTTAGAAAATTCATCTTTCTGACGCTTTCTGCAGTGTTGAACAAAAGAGACCTAAAAGAAAAATCATCCTTTATTTCTGTTCTTTGTTCTTTTCTTCCCATTGTGTACGTTTTCCACATGATCTTGAAATTGTCTTCTATGATATTTAGAGTGCACCACATTTATTCACATTAATTTCCAGTAAAAAAAATCCCATGTGGTAAAATAGTGCATATTTTAGCTTCTATTCTTTTTGTATTTTAGCATCTACCGTTGGACACATCCTCTGTAGTTTCCTTTGATGAAGTACTCTAGTGTACTGAAAGAGCTGACAGATCTCCATGCTGAATGAAACCCAAGGCAGACAGCTGTTACTTAGCAATGTGAAGGATTTCCCTCTTCTGTGAGGGTTTTGTTTGCTTCATTATAATGGAAAAGGAGAAGTAATGTTTCTCTGTGCTCATGGTAACGTGGCATGAATGGTCTTATCATAAGGCAATTTATTACATGTTTTGCAATACTTCTTAAACTTTCTGTTTATTCTCTGTCCATTTATGTAAATATATGTTTAAGTATATGAGACTTAAAAGTCTCGAAAAATTAGGAAATCATCTAGGAAACACTTATGCACATGAGTAACCGCCTTTGAGTAGTTTTATTGAAATCAATGAATCTAATGAAGTGAAAAATTTTGAAAATAATATCTTTAGTATTAATTCTACATTTTTATTATGCATTATTTGACACCATTTATTTGAGATGATGTCTAAATTTCTTATTTCACTGTGACTGATAATAAATGATCAAAATCTAGTTAATATATTCAAAAGAGGGAAAGTGAGATACAGTACTTAGATAATTTGAAGGATTAAGAAATTCTCTTTCATACTGATGCCTTTTCTTTGTTTCCTACCTAATACAAAGGAAGTTTTGTACTAAATGCCATGCCAGATAATGAACATTTCAAGCACTATACTTACTATTAGTATACATTATTTATATGTAATATATACAATATATATAAAGACATCACAAATGACTCAGTAGCTAGGAATCCTAGCAACTTGTCAAGAAGTCTAGGAAGTGCTTGCTATTTTCAAGTGGTATCACACTTTGATACAGTAGTGTTTCTGGAAATTGCCTACTTATCAGTATTTATGTAGATTCAAAATGACTGTGGGACAGGATATCCTACACCTGTTTCTGAAGGAACATTACTTTCCATTTAGCCTAATTAGAAGCTTTCTTAAAACACCTGTCTTAACTCTTCTGGTTTTAATTTTCCATCTCAAGTGTTAGCTTAAATATTCTCAGCCTTTCATAGGATTTGTATAATTTATGAACAGAAAATATGTAGAATGAAGGAAACATGTATAATTTTAAAGCCATGTAACTTTTTCTGCATTTCATTTACAGTATAGCAATTTACAATTGCAAATTCTTGAGACCTTCTACAGCAGACGAACACATATGCAAATCTTTTTATTATCATTGAACTTTAAATTAGAAAGAGCATTTTTTGGTCTGAAACATTTGTTTTACTATACATTTATTGTCACTATCTGTCCATCAATCTTATGCATCTATGAGGAGAAAAGAAGGGACTGAGGTGTTATGAGACATCTGTCTAATGATTTATGACATATGGAAGTTCAGGCTTGATGAACTATGGCCATCTGTGATCTTTCTGAATGAATCTTTTAAGAAATTCTAGATAAAGAAAACTAATCACAAACCGGTAGAGAATGCGTGCAGGTAGTCAGTAAGAAGGTATATGTGTACGCCTTCCCTTTCCCAAAATTACATTAAATGTTAGCAAGGAATGACAAAATATTAATGACAAAGTAATCACAGAGGTGCTTTGGTCGCTGATCATACAGATAATTTATGCCTCAAATTCCATATGAGTTTGGATGCTGCTACACTGACCGAGGGTAGCAGCCCTCTTCATTCAATACTAATAGTCAGGGAAACACCAACCTGATGGAGAGACAAGCTGTGTCCCCAGCTGTGTTCATTTGATTGAGCTGCCAGAGTAGGATTTAAATGTTTCATCCAGTTGCAGCCTAGAAAAATTGAAGCAATGTTAATCACTAGTAACCCAGCCTAGCTAACAGGACTGTTTTGGTTTTACCCCAGGAGGATCAAGAGTTGCAAGGATAAGTATAGTAAGTTAGTCAAAAAATGTTTCCATTTAGCCTCCCAGTGCTCTTGGGATATGTGCTTTGTTTCCTGATATATATATATATATATATATATGGGGTTTTTTTAACATGTGGGAAAATGTTTCATATTAATTGAAAATTATTTCTACTGTATTTTATGGCTTTAGTAAGCTCCACTTATGTCTCGAAATTCTAGGAGGTGTGTATGGGGAACATTTCTTTTTCTCCTGGTTACATCCTGGAGTCATTGCTTTTGCAGAACTGGTGCAATAATTAACTCCTTGGCGAGTTGAGGCATATTGCTATACCCACATTAAAAAAAAAATTTTTTTTCAAAATTAGCTTGTTATTAGAATGAATACAAGTTGTTGTTTCCTTTCTAATTTCCTTTGTTTTGTTGAATTATAGATGAATGCCCAAAAATAAAATTAATTGATTTTGCTTTCAGAATGTGGAAAAACTTCCTGCAGTTCGCATCATCCAGTGAAGTCTTCTCAGTGAAATAAAAAACACAAACTCTGATAGTAAGAATTGCAGTAGGAAAGGACATAATATACCAGAAATATGGTTTGTGTCTGTTTAATTTGAATAACTGCAGTATGACTCCTTAAAAAATATAGGTTGTGCAGCCACTAATTTTTGAACTATAGGTAGTGAAACATTCACTGTAATCACTTGAAGATTCAAATAAAAATATAGAAAAAGTCTCTGAATAATAAAAATTATGCACTGTTTTTATGGGAAAGGATCACTTTTCAAAGTGTATTAAATTTTGAGCAATTAAAAAATACACTGAGAAACTATCTCACTTGGATTTGGGTTTCAGCCAAAGCACAGAACTTTTTCTTTAAGCTTGTTTAAACATTAACAAGTGTTAACTCCTTGAGTTTTTAGAATTAAGTAGGGATAAAACTTGAGTCAAACAATTGGGTTTCACTCACATTTATAGCCTAGCTGTTCTCTAACATATTAATACTTTTAAAAACTACGTATCACTTGCAGGAAGATTCAACAGTCAGCTTTTCATTATGAGCCACATTAAACAAGAACAGATCTGGTGTCATCAGCACACAAAAGATGTTGTTCTTTATATTGCAGTAACAGATCTTCCGATGGTCCTAAGTACCTCTAGTTAAAATAAAATACTAATTAAAAAACAAAATCCCATGCTAACTACCTTATTGAGCTGTAAAATAATACTTATCAGTACCATATTGATTTATCTTTCATATTTAAACTATTATCCTAACTTTGGCCTGTCATTTTCCTTCCAGGAATAGGTTTTTGGTTGCTTAGTTTACAACAGAGTAAGCTTCTTGCATCAACATGGTCATTTATTCATGTCTTTTTAGATATTACTATGCAGGCACTGCAGTCAGCTTCTTAGGCAGAAGACCTTTTACAAGGTTTTGGGAGGCTTGAGTACAGAGACGTTTAAGTAAAGAATGTTTGATTTATTTTTTTTGAGTGTGTGTCACATTGGTTCTCTCAAGACTGCTTAACTAAGGAAAGCACAATGCCTAGACATGGTATTAATTACCGTACAGCAAAACAGTTTAGTCTTGGATATCAAGTTACATATTCTACCTTAATGTATTAGGAATTGAAGTCTAATTAACAAGGTACCTTGTCAATAACATGAGAATTCTGTAATTAAATAAGTTTCATGTTTAACTAATATACTGCACTAAACAGAAAAGCACACTTCATTGAATTTTAATGTGTATAGTGAATCTAGGTAAGAGATACTGATATTTGTAATTTATTTTGTACATTAGAATTTAACTGCTCAAATAACCTCTTCATACTAAGAAGACCTTTGTTATGACAATTTACTATCATGGTGCTTTAATAAAGATTCATTTAATTTTGCTTTTGTACAATCTGAAAATTGAAGTAACGTGTATAATCATGTCTGGGGCTGATATGATAGGCTCAATGTGCCATAAAGTCTTGAAAGTGCCCAGTATAGTTCAAAAGCAATTTTTACAATTGCAATAGGTGACCAAACGAGTTAAGTAAAGCACTTGGTGAAGCTGTTCTGGACTAGGAAAGAAAACTCCTAGATTATACTATTTTCTTATCAAAAGAATTAATTTTGCTCAATAAATGA